GGCAGCAGATAAAGGTAAGAAACAAATTGAACCTGCAGCTTTTCAAGGAACAACTGGGCAAGTGGTGGTGATTTCCCTCGAGAGGTTACTGTCATAGTCTTAATATCAGAATGTCAATACAACCTTTAGAGATCAACAGAATCACTGACCACCCATCTTAATAGCCTCTCTCCTCTCCCCTCCACTAGCTTTCTTCCTCTCCCCTCTCTCATCCCCCCCTCTCTCCTCCTCTCTCTTTCCTCCCCTCTCTCTCCCTCCCCTCTCTCTCCCCTCCCCTCCCCTCTCCTCCCCTCTCTTCCCTCTCCTCCCCTCTCCTCCCCTCTCTTCCCTCTCCTCCCCTCTCTTCCCTCTCCTCCCTCTCTTCCTCTCCTCCCTCTCCTCCCCTCTCTTCCCTCTCCTCCCCTCTCTTCCCTCTCCTCCTCTCCCTTTCCTCCCCTCTCCCTCTCCTCCCCTCTCTCTCTCCCCTCCCCTCCCCTCTCTCCTCCCCCCTCTCTTCCCTCTCCTCCCCTCTCTTCCCCCTCTCTTCCCTCTCCTCCCCTCTCTTCCCCTCTCTTCCCTCTCCTCCCCTCTCTTCCCCCTCTCCACTTACATCACTTAATGTTATTACTGCAGTAACAGAATGTATGACCTCAGAGCAGGAAGACCTGCCCAAGACCCTTTTCCACTAATGGACTTTCCCATTCCATCATCTTTATTAAAGCTTTCCTGAGCTACCAGCACCAGCAGCATTTTGTTGCACCAGCAGCATTTTGTTGCCCCCCCCGCCCCCCCAAGTTGTTTTATTGCAGGCCGGACGGCCGGGCCGGTGGTATTCAATCATATTCCCCCGTGATACGTCTTGACATGGGGGGGGGGGGGGGGGGGGGAGAGGGGGGGTTTAATGGATATTACCTCCCCAATTGAAATTTGCCAAAGTGCCCGGCCCTAATTGAATTAGCCTTGATTGCCTGGCTGGGATGTGCTGTGTGTCTGCCATCAGGGAGGTCACAAGTATAAATAGGATGAAGGGGAAAGCAGATGATTCACCGATGGCTATCCTGCTGACCAGGAATTACGTGACGGAGAACAGAGCAGAAGACTCCCTCTGAGAAAACTAACCTGTGTGGCGTTAGAGGTTAAGGTAGCATAAACGTTACCACGTGTAACATTTTGGATTTGGATTAGTATACGCATCAAAAGTACCAATGCAAAGTTACACCTCACTTTTCTATTTTTGGAGTTATTACATAAAACCGATCAGAATTCCGAACAACGCCAAAGTCATGTCAGAAACAGTTTTTCCATGGGGTTGATGTACTATGGAGGACCTGGCAAACCAGCCTATCCCCTATAATGTAAACTCCAACAGAAATAACTTCACATGTATACCTTCAAATTAAACCAAATCATTTGCACTCATGACTACTGGTTTAAAAAAAAAAAAAAAACTATTCTGCCAACTTACAAGCGAATACTTGATGAATGTATTGTTACAAATCAACTTGCAAGGATGCTAGCCAATTAGCCTGCTAACGTTTGCCCTGCTAGCCTACTAATGTTAGCCCTACCAGACTACTAACGTTATGTTAGCACTACATGAGTCAGCCAGTTGCTATCAACACCTAGCTTAAAGTTACATTAAAGTAAACCAAAGTTTTGGAAATACATCACGCCATCTAACCAGTTATCAAAGAATATTAGCAATATGCAGTTATCTTAGCCAGCAAGCTAGCCATCCAGCTAACATTAGCTATTTAGCCAACTAGCTATTAGCCTTGCCAGCCTAGCCAACTAGCTATTAGCCTAGCCAGCCTAGCCAACTAGCTATTAGCCTAGCCAGCCTAGCCAATCACCACGGTTACGGTCAGCAAGCTAGAGCCCAGCTACTGGAGACCAGCTAGAACACAACACACACAACCAAAACATTACCACAGGTTAAAAAGCAAAGCGAGAGCAGGGACAGATTCATTGATGGCTGGGGCCCATCCGATGGTAAAACGTTTTAAAGCGTGCAGGCTGAGGGAGGTGGGTGCTTCACCGGCTGATGGAGAGTCAGGGAAATCAAAAAATAGCTCGATTCCAGATGTCCATCAGCTAGTTAAGCCAAGGTAGGAAAAGGTGCATGCTCAGCCCCCTGCTGTACTCCCTGTTCACCCATGACTGCGTGGCCAAGCACGCCTCCAACCTCAATCATCAAGTTTACAGACGACACAACAGTAGTAGGCTTGATTACCAACAATGATGAGACAGCCTACAGGGAGGAGGTGAGGGCCCTGGCGGAGTGGTGCCAGGAAAATAACCTCTCACTCAACATCAACAATACAAAGAAGATGATCGTGGACTTCAGGAAACAGCAGAGGGTGCACTCCCCCATCCACATCGACGGGACCGCAGTGGAGAAGGTGGAAAGCTTCAAGTTCATTCGTGTACACATCACTGACAAACTGAAATGGCCCACCCACGCAGACAGTGTGGTGAAGAAGGCGCAAGAGAGCCTCTACAACCTCAGGAGGCTGAAGAAATTTGGCTTGGCACCTAAAACCCTCACAAACTTTTACAGATGCACAATTGAGAGCATCCTGTCGGGCTGTATCACCGCATGGTACGGCAACTGTACCACCCGCAACCGCAGGGCTCTCCAGAGGGTGGTGCGGTCTGCCGAACGCATTACCGGGGGCAATCTACCCGCCCTCCAGGACACCTACAGCACCCGATGTCACAGGAAGGCCAAAAAGATCATCAAGGACATCAACCACCCGAGCCACTGCCTGTTCACCCCGCTTTCATTCAGAAGGCGAGGTCAGTACAGGTGCATCAAAGCTGGGACAGAGAATGAAAAACAGCTTCTATCTCAAGGCCATCAGACTGTTAAATAGCCATCACTAGCACATTAGAGGCTGCTGCTGCCTATTGAAATCACTGGCCACTGTAAGAAATGGAACACTCGTCACTTTAATAATGTTTACATATCTTGCATTACTCATCTCATATGTATATACTGCATTCTATAATATTCTACTGTATCTTAGTCCATGCCGCTGTCATTCCTCGTCCATATATGTATACATTCTTAAATTCCATTCCTTACTTAGATTTGTGTGTTTTGGGTATATGTTGTGAAATTGTTAGATATTACTGCACTGTCGGCGCTAGAAGCGCAAGCATTTCGCTACACCCGCACTAACATCCGCTAAACACGTGTAAGTGCCAAATAAAATGTGATTTTATTTTATTTACAACTAAGTTACTAAGTCTTTGACCACACTGCGTTGTTATATTGGTGAGTAAAAACTCATGCTCGATACCCTTTAAGATACCGGCAGCCATATACAGGAGGAGCATTTCACTGTATGTATCCTTGTAGTATAACTTCAGTTTGATATCTCTTCAGTTTTTTTCCCAACAAATAGTCTTTTTACAGTGTATTTTTAAGGAAGGGGGAGAGGATTGAGTGTAGACCAGCTTGAAGCTTGATGATTAGTTGATTATTTGAATCAGGGGCAAAAACCAAAACGTGCACCCCTTGGGGTCCCCAGGACCGAGTTTGGGAAACGCTGGTGTAGATGGAGTGTTTGTGTGTGTGTGTGTGTGTGTGTAAGCTGATTGTGCCTGCCTGTCGAGGGGTGGCTGATGAAGAAAGAGAAGGGAATCTTCACGGCGTGGTATCAACCAATCAGCCTACGCACGCAGGCTGAATTCCCTCTCTCCTCAGTCAACAACTCACTAATCACCCCAGTCATCACACCCCTCTCCTGGTTGGGACAGGCAGGTTCAAATATCTGAAGAGCTATGTGATCAGTCTGCAACGTAACGGAAAGTGGCTTCTAGCTGCGGCAGATTTCAAGCCATATATTTAAGAAATATATATGGATGACTCAGCCAATGCTGTAATGCTTTGGTCATACTGTATATCTGGACAAAGCCAATATAAAAATCGTTAAAAAAAAAAACAACATTATTTAAAAATTATGTTTCAGTCTAAAAGGACAATTAAAATCACAAATAACTGACAGGAACTGGGCTCTCACTGATATAAATAGGAGTGAAACTCTGTGCCATTCAGTGACATTTTCATTCGACTAACTTACTATTTGATCTTAACGCTTGCTTAAGCAGGCCGAGATGAGTTTTACTGGCCTGGTTCAGACAGCCAGTGTGTGCCCTGGGCTAAAACACATCTCTGCCAGCGTTCACTAGGCAGAAGAGAGGGAGGGCTGGCTACCTTTGTCCTTGCATGCAGCCTTTCAATTCACTTCAGTTATCAAAATGCATTCAGACATGACCCCCTTCTATTCCTATTTACAATAGAAGTGACTATAAAATAACACAGATTATTTACCATTCATTTGTATTGGGCACAAAATGCATCCAACAGTGTCACAAGCTTGATGTCATGGCATATGGAACCAAATATTAAACCTTTGACTACTTTAATAAATATAAGTGAATTTGTCCCAATACTTTTGGTCCCCTCAAATGGGGGGGGGGGGGGGGGGGGGGGACTATGTACAAAAAGTGCTGTAATTTCTAAACGGTTCACTTTATATGAATGAAAATAACCTAAAATTACAGCTGACAGTCTACACATTCACCTCATAGCTGTTGTATCATTTCCAATCCAAAGTGCTGGAGTACAGAGCCAAAACAACAACATGTGTTACTGTCCCAATACTTCTGGAGCTCACTGTATAGTCTGTTGGGTTTTCACTGTTCAAAAATATGAATGTTCAGGTTCAAAATAATTCAGCTTGTGTGGCAAGTTGAGCAACCCCTTATAAACCAGGATATATTTACTGTAACTACAGTACTGGTAAATAAATCCTTGTTTGTTTGTTAATTTATTTGTCCATCAGGACTATACAGTTCACAACAAGCACCTGATGTCATCAGTGATTACCCCAGACACAGACAGACTGAGCAATCAACTACTAACCACTAACCAGTCACTGATTGGGCCGATCTCAGGAAGAGCCAATCAGAGGAAATAACAGGGAGAGGTTGACAACTCCAGGAAGTGATTGTCACAGCAGTAGGTCCTCTGGACTGCTGCCTGGTGCTGTGAGAGGTACCTGACAGGTTGGACTGAAGGGTTGAAGGGTTCTGCTGTCGTCTGTCCTGTTATTTCCTCCTTCAGATGAGGGCTCCACTGTACACAGCATTACGAAGTACCCCAGCCAGCCATATATATACACACAATGCCTATACCTGGCCTTGCGCTCTCAGATTCTCAACAGATTCTTGTCCATCAATACATATACTGAACAAAAAATGTAAAACGCAACATGCAACAATTTCATTGATTTTACTGAGTTCCAGTTCATATGAGGAAATCAGTGAATTGAAATAAATTCATGAATGTCCTAATCTATGGATTTCACATGACTGGGAATACAGATATGCATCCGTTGGTCACAGATACCTTAAACAAATGGGCCTCAGAATGGGCATCAGGATCTCGTCACGGTATCTCTGTGCATTCAAATTGCCATCGATAAAATACAATTGTGCTTTTTGTCCGTAGCTTAAGCCTGCCAATTCCCTAACCCCACCATGCAACACTCTGTTCACAACGTTGACATCAGCAAACCGCTCGCCAAGATGACGCCATACACGTGGTCTGCGGTTGTGAGGCCGGTTGGACGTACTGACAAGTTCTATAAAACGACATTGGAGGCGGCTTATGGTAGAGAAATTACCATTAAATTATCTGGCAACAGCTCTGGTGGACATTCCTGCAGTCAGCATGCCAATTGCATGCTCCCTCAAAACTTGAGACATCTGTTGCATTGTGTTGTGTGACAAAACTGCACATTTTAGAGTGGCCTTTTATTGTCCCCAGCACAAGGTCCACTAATGTAATGATCATGCTGGTTAATCATCTTCTTGATATGCCACACCTGTCAGGTGGATGGATTATCTTGGCAAAGGAGAAATGCTCACTAACAGCGATGTAAACCAATTTGTGCACAACATTTGAGAGAAATAAGCTTTTTGTACGTTATAAATATTTATGGGATCTTTTCTTTCAGCTCATGAAACATGGGACCAACACTTTACATGTTGCGTTTCTATATTTTTGATAGGAGTCAGCAGTGCAGTTGAACTGCAGTATGGTTCCTAGGGTAGACAGTAGTGGGGATTGTTTTTAGGGGCTGTCTGACCTGTGATGACGAGACACTCATTGTACTGCAGGGCTTCAGTGAAGAGGCGAGAGACGATGAGTTCTGGGTTAATCAGGAAGCGAATCTCTTCCTGAACCAGACCTGATGACGTGACCCCTCCGCCCACAAACCGGTTGGCAAAGTCCACCTGCATAGAGAGAGAGAGAGAGAGAGAGAGAGAGAGAAGAGAGAGAGAGAGAGAGAGAGAGAGAGAGAGAGAGAGAGGAGATCTAGGAATAGAGGAGAGGAGAGAGAGAGAGCAGAGGAGAGAGAGAGATGAGAGAGAGAGAAGAGAGAGAGAGAGTGCAGCAGAGAGAGTGAGACAGACAGGGTGGACTAGGAAGCATCAGGGGAAAAAGAGGATGATAAAGTCACCTGCAGAGCAGTGGGATGGACAGCAGAGCAGAGATGGACAGCAGAGCAGTGGTGATGGACAGCAGAGCAGGTGTGGACAGCAGAGCAGGGTGATGGACAGCAGAGCAGGGTGTGGACAGCAGAGCAGGGTGTGGCCAGCAAGCAGGGTGATGGACAGAGAGCGGGTGACAGCAGAGCAGGGTGATGCGGACAGCAAGAACAGGGTGATGGACAGCAGAGCAGGTGATGGACACAGAGCAGGGTGATGGACAGCAGAGCAGAGTGATGGGACAGCAGAGCAGGTGATGGACAGCAGAGCAGGGTGATGGACAGCAGAGCAGGGTGATGGACAGCAGAGCAGGGTGATGGACAGCAGAGCAGGTGATGGACAGCAGAGCAGGGTGATGGACAGCAGAGCAGGGTGATGGACAGCAGAGCAGGGTGATGGCACAGCAACAGGGTGATGGACAGCAGAGCAGGGTGATGGACAGCAGAGCAGGGTGATGGACAGCAGAGCAGGGTGATGGACAGCAGAGCAGGGTGATGGACAGCAGAGCAGGTGATGGACAGCAGAGCAGGGTGATGGACAGCAGAGCAGTGATGGACAGCAGAGCAGAGTGATGGCAGCAGAGCAGTGATGGACAGCAGAGCAGTGATGGACAGCAGAGCAGGGTGATGGACAGCATGAGCAACGGTGATGGACAGCAGAGCAGTGATGGACAGCAGAGCAGGGTGATGGACAGCAGAGCAGAGTGATGGACCAGCAGAGCATGAGTGATGGAAAGCAGAGCAGTGATGGACAGCAGAGCAGGTGATGGACAGCAGAGCAGGGTGATGGACAGCAGAGCAGGGTGATGGACAGCAGAGCAGAGTGATGGAAAGCAGATAGAAGCAGAGAGTGATGGACAGCAGAGCAGGTGATGGACAGCAGAGCAGGTGATGGACAGCAGAGCAGGGTGATGGACAGCAGAGCAGAGTGATGGAAAGCAGAGCAGGTGATGGACAGACAGTGAAGCAGCAGTGATGGACAAGCAGAATGCAGGAAGCAGACAGTGGACAGCAGAGCAGGTGATGGACAGCAGAGCAGAGTGATGGACAGCAGAGCAGAGTGATGGACAGCAGAGCAGTGATGGACAGCAGAGCAGTGATGGAACAGAGCATGAGGAAGCAAGAAGTGATGGAACAGCATTGGAAACAGAGGATGGACAGCAGAGCAGAGTGATGGACAGCAGAGCAGGTGGAGCAGAGGTATACAGCAGAGCAGGTGATGGACAGCAGAGCAGAGTGATGGACAGCAGAGCAGTGATGGACAGCAGCAGTCGAGCAGTGATGGACAGCAGAGCAGAGTGATGGACAGCAGAGCAGTGATGGACAGCAGAGCAGAGTGATGGAAAGCAGAGCAGAGTGATGGACAAGCAGAGCAGAAGTGATGGACAGCAGAGCAGTGATGGACAGCAGAGCAGAGTGATGGACACAGCAGAGCCAAGTGATGACAGCAGAGCAATGATGGAACAGAGAAGGTGATGGACAGCCGAGCAGGTGAGGACAGCAGAGCAGGGTGATGGACACAGAGCAGAGTGATGGCCAGCAGAGCAGTGAGGACAGCAGAGCAGTGATGGACAGCAGAGCAGTGATGGACAGCAGAGCAGGGTGATGGACAGCCAGACAGGGTGATGACAGCAAGCAGGGTGAACTGGCACATGTCAAGCCAGAGTGATGCACACTAGAACAAGTGAACTGCCATGCAAGCCAGAGACAGCAACAGCAACAGAGTGACTGCCATGTCAGCCGCAGGTTATGACAGCAGAGCAGGGATGACAACAGAGGAACTGCATGTCAGCAGAGACAGCCAACTAACACAGAGAGACTGCATGTCAGCCAGGAGACAGCAACATCACAACAGGACTGCATGTAGCCCAGAGACAGCCAACATCACAAGCAGGATGCATGGTCAGCCCAGGAGACAGCCAACATCACAACAGAGGAAACTGCTCATGTCAGCCCAGGAGACAGCCAACATCACACAGAGGACTGCCATGTCAGCCCAGTAGACACCAACATCACAACAGAGGAACTGCCATGTCAGCCCAGGAGACAGCCAACATCACAACAAGCAAACAAGAGACACCCTGTCCTCTGTCTGCCCAGATTCAATGTTACGGGGGAAAACACACAGAGAACTGCCATGTCAGCCCAGAGACAGCCAACATCCCAACAGGAACTGCCATGTCAGCCCAGGAGACAGCCCAACATCACAACAGAGGAACTGCCATGTCAGCCCAGGAGACAGCCAACATCACAACAGAGGAACTGCCATGTCAGCCCAAGGAGAACAGCCAACATCACAACAGAGGAACTGCCATGTCAGCCCAGGAGACAGCCAACATCACAACAGAGTGAACTGCCCATGTCAGCCCAGGAGACAGCCAACATCACAACAGAGGAACTGCCATGTCAGCCCAGGAGACAGCCAACATCACAACAGAGGAACTGCCATGTCAGCCCAGAAGACAGCCAACATCACAACAGAGGAACTGCCATGTCAGCCCAGGAGACAGCCAACATCACAACAGAGGAACTGCCATGTCAGCCCAGGAGACAGCCAACATCACAACAGAGGAACTGCCATGTCAGCCCAGGAGACAACTAACATCACAACAGAGGAACTGCCATGTCAGCCCAGGAGACAGCCAACATCACAACAGAGGAACTGCCATGTCAGCCCAGGAGACAGCCAACATCACAACAGAGGAACTGCCATGTCAGCCCAGGAGACAGCCAACATCACAACAGAGGAACTGCCGAGACAGCCAACATCACAACAGAGGAACTGCCATGTCAGCCCAGGAGACAGCCAACATCACAACAGAGTCAGAACAGAGCAGAACTCCTGTCCTGCTCTCTGCACCCCAGATTCACTCACAGGTTGAATCCCAAATTGCACCCTTTTCTCTATATAGCACACTACTTTTGACCAAGGGCCATAGCACTCTGGTTAAAAGCAGCGCACTATACCAGGAATAGGGTGCTATTTGGGATGCAACCCCAGGGTCAGTACCAACCCAGTCAAGTCACTACCTGCCGTTGCTAAATTGAGGAGAGTTCCTCGTCTTAATCTATGTATGACGTCCTACTTTTATTTCCTAAATTGAAGTTATCCTTTTATTCTGCAAATGAACTGTTCAACAGGCATAATGAAGCTGCCAATTTATAGCACCAGGTCTGTTTATTATCATTGTTTACCATTTCACAACAAAACAAGAAACAAAACAAGGTTCTTCAAGGCCTGATATAGACAGGAATACTGATTGTTTTGCTGCATAGGAAACTGTATAATCCACCATTTTCAGGACTGTCAGTTTTGGCACACTGTCCCTCAGACAGCCCAGGCCAGGCAGGGCCAACTGGGTCTGTCTCACCTCCCGTCTCACCTCCCGTCTCACCTCCCGTCTCACCTCCCGTCTCACCTCCTCACCAAAGACTCCCAGGCAGTCAGTCAGACAGTTGGGAGGTGGGACGGGGGGCCCAGGCAGTCAGTCAGACAGTTGGGAGGTGGGACGGGGGGCCCAGGCAGTCAGTCAGACTGTTGGGAGGTGGGACGGGGGGCCCAGGCAGTCAGTCAGTCAGTTGGGTGGTGGGACGGGGGGCCCAGGCAGTCAGTCAGACAGTTGGGTGGTGGGACGGGGGGCCCAGGCAGTCAGTCAGACAGTTGGGAGGTGGGACGGGGGGCCCAGGCAGTCAGTCAGACAGTTGGGAGGTGGGACAAGGGGCCCAGGATGCGGCACACACACAGTCTGCTCTTTCTTTGACAGGCTGTCAGAGAGCCCCTCCTCACCAGAGGGCCCTTCACTGATGGCAGGGTGCCCGGGCCCTAGCTGGATCTGGTCATGTCACCCATCAGCTGTCAGCCCGTGGCAACCACAGCCTCCGCAGGCAAACAAAAGGTGAAAGGGAGAGGGGAGAGGAGAGAGGAGAGAGGGGAGAGGGGAGAGGGTAGAGGGTAGAGGGGAGAGGAGAGAGGAGAGAGGGGGAGAGGGGAGAGGGGAGAGGGAGAGAGGAGAGAGGAGAGAGGAGAGGAGGAGGAGAGGGGAGAGGAGAGAGGGGAGAGGGGAGAGGGGAGAGGGGGAGAGGGGAGAGGGGAGAGGGGGAGAGGGAGAGGGGAGAGGGGAGAGGGGAGAGAGGACCGTCCTGACAGGGAGAGAGGGGAAGGGACTGGGTAGAGAGCAGAGGGAGAGCAGGGTCTCGACCCCAGTCCCAGCACACACACACACACACACACACATACTTTTGGCACGCATGAAAACACACGCACAAATGCACGCATACACACATGCAGTCCCACAGACGTGTTGTCAACCGTCCGCTTCCTCAAAGGACCTGTTCAGCGGCAGTAAGCATTCTGAGTTAAAGCCGGGAGTACGTGTGTGAGGCGACTCCGTGACTGACAACCACAGCACATAAAAGGAGAAGAGAAAGACAATCCAACAGGGAGAGGAGAAGCCACCTTTCAAACAGAGATCTCCTCTAGGCTGGATGTGTGGCTTAGAATATGGAATGAAGAATCCTGGAATGTACAGTAAGAGTCCTGCTCCACCAAGCTGCTTCTAGAATACTCTATCCTGCTCTCTCTGTACTTGTGCACAACACGACTGCGACTCAAAATGGCACCCTATTCCCTATAACATCCACTGCTTTTGACCAGAGCCCTAAAATTTAAAAAAAAATAGTTGTGCACTAAATAGGAAATAGGGTGCCATTTGAGAATACTATATCCTGCTCTCTCTGTACTTGTGCACAACACGACTGCGACTCAAAATGGCACCCTATTCCCTATAACATCCACTGCTTTTGACCAGAGCCCTAAAATTAAAAAATTAAAAATAGTTGTGCACTAAATAGGAAATAGGGTGCCATTTGGGACACAGACCATACATTCAGTCGTATAGAGCTGTCTGTCAACTCTTCCATACAGGTTACCTGCAGCATGCCGTTCCCGTCGTCTTCTATGGTTCCTGCACATGTTATGTGGAGCTTTGTGAGCTGATTCTGGGAGCTGAAACATAGCAAAATGAATGACCTTTTTAGCTCGATCACCATTCAGTAAATATATGTTTCCCTTGTTCCTACGTGGATCAAATCCATAACAGTTATTGGATAGAATAAATGGACAGTAATTTCTCATGAAGTGGATTACTTTTTCCAGTTCGGGGGACGATCCAAACATTTTCTTGTGAATGTTACAAGTCCAGTAGGTCCTGAAAAATAAAACAAACCAAAAAAGTTCAATCAATTATCAATGCTTTTGGTTTGAAACCAATATAACATAATTTACATAACATTGATTTGATAATTAAAAAAAAACGTACTTTGCTCGGTTACACTTCTAAAATAGCACAAAAGTGTTTTAAGTTTCTCCCTCTTCTTTGGTGAGGAGCCTTCAAACAGCCTGAGAGGAAGTAAGAGTTAATGTTATGTCCCAAAAAGAGTATTTCAAAGGCTACAGAACAGCTTATATACATTTAAAATCACGTTTACGGTTAGTCTTGTTTCTAACATTGTAATTAACAGTGTACATTGGCTTTACAATGCTTCATAGACACAATGCATCTCTTTTCCCAAGTGATTTTGGGGAACATGACATCACGGCTTTTAAAGGAATAATCCACTTAAAACCACAAATTCCTTTGATTTACATTGTTAAATAATTTGTGAGAACAATATGTTGTGATTTCCTTTTTTTTGCATTTCATCGTTATAATAAGATAGGAAGCAACATGTAAAAAATTGTTATGGAAATCTGCTGGAGCTCAGGTCGACTACAAAACCCACAATGCAATGCGTTCTCTCTGGACAGGCTGTAAAACGTAGCGACACACAATACCAAAGTCCATATCAGCATGTGAAGTAGCTAGCTAGTTGTAAAATCCCTGAAACAAACTGCACTATCAATTTAGGAGTTACAATTTCGCCATGTTCAACCTGTTAGAGATCATGTTTCTAGCTCAAAACTTTGCGTTAGTGGTTGCCATGGCAACACAAAACGGCCTGTGCGCGGGGTTTCAGAGGAGAAACTAGTGTCGGGAAGTTAGGCTCTTTTTACTGACTCAGATCTTTACTGACTCAGATCTTTACTGACTCAGATCTTTACTGACTCGTTCAGTCAAAAGAACGAATCTTTCAACTAATTTCGTTAATTTGATTCAGTATTGCCCAGAACAGATTTCGTGTCACTGGCCTACACACAATACCGCATAATGTCAAAGAGGAATTATGTTTTTAGAAATGTTTACAAATGAATTAAAAATGTATTGAGTCAATAAGTATTCAACCCCTTTGTTATGGCAAGCCTAATGGAGGATAAAAATTTTAAATTCCATAAATTTGTCATTAGCATGACCTCTTATCCGAGCGACTTACGGACCATTAGGGATAATGCTTGCTCAAGGCCTTAGTCATTTAGGACGTCCTTACAGAGCACAACCAATTGGTGCGTCACCCTAATAGCCAGGTGGATGACACTTACAATTTAGGGAGTGAGTCCTTGGATGGGTGAGGTATGAAGGATACTTTATCCTATCCCAGTATCCTTAAAGAGGTGGGGTTTCAAATGCCTCCGGAAGGGGTGAGTTTGACTCCGCTGTCCTGGCGTCGTGAGGGAGCTTGTTCCACCAATTGGGGTGCCAGAGCAGCGAACAGTTTTGACTGGGCTGAGCGGGAACTATGCTTCCGCAGAGGAAGGGGAGCCAGCAGGCCAGAGGTGGATGAACGCAATGCCCTCGTTTGGGTGTAGGGACTGATCAGAGCCCGAAGGTACAGAGGTGCCGTTCCCCTCACTGCTCCATAGGCAAGCACCATGGTCTTGTAGCGGATGCGAGCTTCAACTGGAAGCCAGTGGAGTGTGCGGAGGAGGGGGGTGACGTGAGAGAACTTGGGAAGGTTGAACACCAGACGGGCTGCGGCATTCTGGATGAGTTGTAGGGGTTTGATGGCACAGGCAGGGAGGCCAGCCAACAGCGAGTTGCAGTAGTCCAGACGGGAGATGACAAGTGCCTGGATTAGGACCTGTGCCGCTTCCTGTGTAAGGCAGGGTCGTACTCTCCGAATGTTGTAGAGCATGAACCTGCAGGAGCGGGTCACCGCCTTGATGTTGGCGGAGAACGACAGGGTGTTGTCCAGGGTCACGCCTAGGCTCTTCGCACTCTGGGAGGAGGACACAGCGGAGTTGTCAACCGTGATGGCGAGATCATGGAACGGGCAGTCCTTCCCCGGGAGGAAGAGCAGCTCCGTCTTGCCAGGGTTCAGCTTGAGGTGGTGATCCGTCATCCATACTGATATGTCTGCCAGACATAAATAAGTTCAGGAGTAAAAAATGTGCTTAACAAGTCACATAATAAGTTGCATGGACTTAACATGATATTTGAATGACTACCTCGTCTCTGTACCCCACACATACAATTATCTGTAATGTGCCTCAGTCGAGCAGTGAATTTCAAACACAGATTCAACCAAAGACCAGGGAGGTTTTCCAATGCCTCGCAAAGAAGGGCTCCTATTGGTAGATGGGTAAATATAAAAAAAACAGACATTGAATATCCCTTTGAGCATGGTGAAGCTATGAATTACTCTTTGGATGGTGTATCAATACACCCAGTCACTACAAAAGATACAGGCGTCCTTCCTAACTCAGTTGGCGGAGAGGAAGGAAACCGTTCAGGGATTTCACCATGAGGCCAATGGTGACTTCAAAACAGTTACAGAGTTTAATGGCTGTGATAGGAGAAAACTGAAGGATCAAGAACATTGTAGTTACTCCACAATACTAACCTAAGTGACAGAGGGAAAAGACGGAAATATTTCAAACCATGCATCCTGTATGCAATAATCAAATCCAATCAAATTGTATTTGTCACATACACGTGTTTAGCAGATGTTATAGCAGGTGTAGCGAAATGCTTATGCTTCTAGCTCTGACAGTGCAGTAATATCTAACAATTTCACAACATATACCCAATACACACAAAACTAGTAAGGAACGGAATTTAAGAATATATACATATTTGGACAAGCAATGACAGAGCGGCATGGACTAAGATACAGTAGAATATTATAGAATAGAATGCAGTATATACATTTGAGATGAGTAGTGCAAGATATGTAAACATTATTAAAGTGACTAGTGTTCCATTTCTTAAAGTGGCCGGTGATTTCAACAGGCAATAAGGCACTAAAGTAAAACTGAAAAGATTTGGCAAAGAAATTAACTTTATGTCCTGAATACAAAGCGTTAAGTTTGGGGCAAATCCAAACAACTAATCCCCGAGTACCACTCTTCATATTTTAAAGCATGGTGGTGGCTGCATCATGTTATGGGTATGCTTGTCATTGACAAGGACTAGGGAGTTTTTTTTTCAGGATAAAAATAATCCTAGAGGAAAACCTGGTTTAGTCTGCTTTCCAACAGACACTGGGAGATGAATTCACCTTTCAGCAGGACAATAACCTAAAACACAAAGCCAAATATACACTGGAGTTGCTTACCAAGACAACATTGAATGTTCCTAAGAAGCCTAGTTACAGGTTTGACTTAAATCGGCTTGAAAATCTATGGCAAGACAATTGTTGTCTAGCAATAATCAACAACCAACTCGACAAAGCTTGAAGAATATTGAAAATAATCATGTGCAAATATTGTACAATCCAGGTGTGCAAAGCTCTTAGAGACTTACCCAGAAAGACTCACAGCTGTAATCGCTGACAAAGTTGATTCTAATATGTATTGACTAAGAGTTGTGAATACTTATGTAAATGAGATATTTCATTTTCAATACATTTGAAAACATGTTTTCACTTTGTCATTATGGGATGTTGTGTGTAGATGGGTGAAAAAATCTATTTAATCCCATTTTGAATTCAGGATGTAACAACAACATGTGGAATAAGTCAAGGGGTATTAATACTTTCTGAAGGCACTGTAGATAGATGTGTTCTAAACAAGTATGTTAGTCCCCCTGTAGCTCAGTTGGTAGAGCATGGCGCTTGCAACGCCAGGGTTGTGGGTTCGTTTCCCACGGGGGGGCCAGTATGAAAAATGTATGCACTCAAGACGGACCACTTAGAATTTAAATCATGGGGAAATGTTTATATTTTACCCACTGACAGAACATAGGTTTTCACCAAATTGACAGGAATTTCATGATATTTCTTTCTGGGGGTGGATTATCAATATAAGTCAGTAGGCTAATGATGTATTGACTCCACTACTATATTTCAGAACATCACAGGGCGGTTGATGGTGGGCCTGAGGTGGTGGATAAAGATGGAAAAAGCCACTGGGTGTTTGAGTCCAGAAAGGTAGATCACACACATCCCAGTCCTTCTGGGCAGACAGTAACTAACTACCCAACTAACTACTACCCTGGGCAGACAGTAACTAACTACCCAACTAACTACTACCCTCTACTGAAATACCTTCGACTGTAGGGGTCCCTTAAGACCAACTGCCAATTCTTTGATTTCATAACTAAAATGAGAAGAATTGGAAGAGACGACACCCAGTGTCACCAGTACTGAAGAGAGAGCGGGCGAGAGATAGGGAGAGAGGGAGAGGGAGAGGGAGAGGGAGAGGGAGAGGGAGAGGAGAGAGAGAGAAAGAGAGAGAGAGCGCTAGGGAGAGAGATAGGGAGAGAGATAGGGAGAGAGCTAGGAGAGAGAAAGAGATAAGGCACTGCATCTCAGTGCTTGAGGCGTCACTACAGACCCCCTGGTTCGATTCCAGGCTGTATCACAACCGGCCGTGATGGGAGTCCCATAGAGCGGCGCACAATTGGCCCAGCGTCGTCCGGGTTTGGCCGATGTAGGCGTCATTGTAAATAATAATTTGTTTCTTAACTGACTTGCCTAGTTAAATAAAGGTAAATAAAAATAAAAAATAAAATAGGGAGAGAGAGATATAGGGAGAGAGAGATAGAGAGAGGGAGAAAGGTATAGTAGGGAGAGAGATATGAGAGGATGATAGAGGGAGAGATAGGGGAGAGAGAAGAGGGAGAGAGGAGAGAGAGAGAGATATGGAGAGATAGTAGAGATTGGAGAGAGAGAGAGGATATGGCAAGAGAGAGAGATATAGGGAGGAGGAGAGGAGAAAGAAAGAAGGGAGAGGAGAGAGAGGAGAGAGGAGGGAGGAGGAGAGAGAGAGAGAGAGAGACGAGAGGGAGAGAGATGAGAGATGTGATGAGAGGAGAATGAGAGAGAGAGAGAGAGAGCGAGAGAGAGAGAGAGAGAGAGGAGAACAGGCCCCCAACTTTGTCCATCCATGTGAGTTCAGTCAAGCTTTAACTTTTGATATGAATTAGAAATCATCACTCGCTCAGCTTCCCTTTCACTCACTGTAGCCGGGCCAGGCCTGTTATGTAGAAAGCAGTGGAGGCTTCTCAGAGGAGGAAGAGGAGGACCATCCTCCTCAGTGAATTTCATTAAAATTAAAAAGGTAAAACATTAAAAAAGATATACATTTTAGATAAAAATATACTAAATATAATTGCGTCATCAAATAACTGATTAAAAACACACTATCTTGCAAAGAAGGTCTACAGTAGCCTCAACAGCACTCAACAGTAGGGTAGCACCATGGTGTAGCCGGAGGACAGCTAGCTTCCGTCCTCCTCTGGGTACACTGACTTCAATACAAAACCTAGGAGGCTCATCCCCTTCCATAGACTTACACAGTAATTATGACAACTTCCGGAGGACATCCTCCAACCTATCAGAGCTCTTGCAGCATGAACTGACATGTTGTCCACCCAATCAAAGGATCAGAGAATTAATCTAGCACTGAAAGTATAAGCTACAGCTAGCTAGCACTGCAGTGCATAACATCTGGTGAGTACTTGACTCAAAGAGAGAGAAAGACAATAGTTGAACAGTTTTGAACAAATTAATTTCTTCCAAAATGAAGGAGAAGCAAGAGAGATATTTTTTTTCACTTTCAGTTTCACTTACTTAGCTAGCAAATGCAGCTAGCTAGTTTAGCCTACTGAAACACCCTGCTCAAACAGAGGGATGCTATGTTAGCTAGCTGGCTAGTTTAGCCTACTGAAACACCCTGCTCAAACAGAGGGATGCTATGTTAGCTAGCTGGCTAGTTTAGCCTACTGAAACACCCTGCTCAAACAGAGGGATGCTATGTTAGCTAGCTGGCTAGTTTAGCCTACTGAAACACACTGCTCAAACAGAGGGATGCTATGTTAGCTAGCTGGCTATGACTATCCAACACAACACTGGAACTCTTCCAAGTCAAGGTAAGCGTTTGGTATTACTAATTTATTGCCTCCGGGGCCCGCCGGTGTAACCGCTTACTGACTGTACACTGGAACGTTACTGCATGATTGTAGCAGGTTTACTAACGCATTAGTTCTATTAGCTATGTTGACTAGGACGTTACTTTAGCTAATATGGGGACAACGATCTAGGCTGTGTGTAGCGGTTATGATACGGTTTGGCTTGGAAAGGTTTTTTCGCCGGGGTCACATACAGCTGATGTGTTGAGCATTGAAGTCCACAAGCGAAGGGAAGAGAAGGAATACAACGTGGCTGTTATGAGAGTGAACTTTGTTTACGCGTGATCAGGGGTGTATTCATTCCGCCGATTCTGTTGAAAAAACGTTTCTTAAAAACGGAAGCAAACGGAACAAAAACGGGGATAAACATACCTGACTTTGTCTAACAGAAACTCTCGTTTGCAACTGTTGGACTAATGATTACACCCTTTATCAGCTAGATGCAGGCAAGAGTGTGCAAGGCGCTATTGAATGTCACTGTCTGTCACCTCAAATTTGTCTCTCGACCTGTGTGCACCTACATTGTAAAACTTTCATTCGTAGGCTAGGGTTGTAGCAACCTCGTGATGGTTATATGGGAAATTCAAGTATCACGTAGTAGCCTAAACCTATCGCTGTTACATCGAACTGGGTGAACGGAATATGCATGACAGTCATCCAATATGCTGTAATAGAAATAAGGCCCATGCTCATGAAGAAAAAATATTGTCCTCCCTCATCTTAAAACGGCACCGGCCGCCACTGGTAGAAAGTCCTTCTTACATCATTACAACAATGGCAGTTGGCCCGGGGCCTCAGTCCCATCACAAAGTAACACTCATGTGTCCCTCCACTCCTCTCCACAACAAGGAAAATAACACAAGAGGATGAGAAACCAAAAAAACGGATGAGAACCCCCCCCCCCCCACCCCCCCACTGCTTTGCCCTCTGCCGGCTGCCATTTCAATCAGAGAGAGAGAGGAATTTCATGAGAGAATAAGCAATGAAAAGGCTTGATGCACTGAGAGGCTAAGAGCCCCCCAGGCCCAGAGAAACTCATTCACTGAGAGGCTAAGAGTCCCCCCAGGCCCAGAGAAACCCATTCACTGAGAGGCTAAGAGTCCCCCCAGGCCCAGAGAAACTCATTCATTTAAGTCCATTCCTCATTTTTTTTTCTGTCATTGTAGCCAGTAGAAACAATCTTGCGTCATGTTATTTAGCCCACAGGGCATCTAGCCAGCCAATGGTTGGTAAGAGCAGGCTTTTAGTAATAGAATACCAATATGGTATTTTGGGAATGGTGAAATGAATACATCATTATATAATGCCAACAACAATCCATCAAAGATTTTCATGTAGAGATGTGATGTAATGTAGCTCGGTTGCCTATTTAGAGCAAAATGTTGAAGAGCGCAGTTGTGTGAAGAAACTTACAACAGAACAGAACCAAATTTATGTAATGAATCACAGATACATATCTGAGATTATATCCATCATATCATATCTACTCATTGAGTTAAAAGGCTGAGGGAGCCAAGAAAGCTTCTGTTCTACTGTACCTCCCCAAAAAGCGGAGGCCGATGGGTTCTGCCAAAACGGCACTCTTTCTGAATGACCAATCAGTGAGCTCTACTAACAACGCTCTTGCCTTGGACAGAACACTAATCATTGGACGGTGTAGGCAGCGGTCCTTGGGTGGTCATTAGGGGGTTTTCCCTGCCGCATAGGGGGTGGGGGGTTTACCTTCCACCAGGAACCTCCAGCCAAGGTTAATTAAGCCTTAGCTTGTGCCCAAGTGCCACTTGTCTGACACGCTGACCATAGGGGGTGGGGGGTTGACCCGCTGACCATAGGGGGTGGGGGGTTGACCCGCTCAGCCACCGACAGGATTTCTCTCACTGCTGTACAGTTTCGGTCCATATCAAATGGACTTTACAGTCATGCTCGTCCACCACCATCAGGGTTGAAGATCATTTCCAAATGCTTGTACTGTTCAGCTAGCTAAGCTTCCATCGCAGATCCAAAAGTAGAGGACTTCCTGGTTTTGTTTTCTTTCAGGAAATCCTTATTCAACCGGCTGAATGAATTACTAAAGGAATGTTGTTACAGTCACTAAACTGATGATTACTAAAGGAATGTTGTTACAGTCACTAAACTGATGATTACTAAAAGGGCTGTTGTTACAGTCACCATACTCCTCTGTTTTAGTAAAGGGCTGTTGTTACAGTCACCATACTCCTCTGTTTTAGTAAAGGGCTGTTGTTACAGTCACCATACTCCTCTGTTTTAGTAAAGGGCTGTTGTTACAGTCACCATACTCCTCTGTTTTAGTTAAGGGCTGTTGTTACAGTCACCATACTCCTCTGTTTTAGTAAAAGGCTGTTACAGAGAGCCATCAGACAATGTTAATCTCATTCCCTTCTCCATTTAGATAATCACACTTCCTGTATCCCAAATAGTCCCCTATTCTTTAGAGGCGTCATAGGGCTCTGGTGAAAAGTAGTGCTATAAAGGGTACGGGGTGCCATTTGGAACGCAGTCAGTGTGACGCCGACAGAGATGGGTACTGTGTACAGAGCAGCAGCTCCAGTCTTCTCGGATAAGGAATTACTGAGAGAGAGGCTTGTATTACATTACATTAATCCTATAAAGTCCATGTCAGAAGTAAAAGCTCCTCTATTAAAAGTAAAAACCGCAGCGCCACCGCAACAACGATTCCGTTATCAGATCTTCTCCAAGGAGAGACCTTGAGGTAGGTTTGAATCGGAGAGACCGCGTGGGGTGCGTTTGAATCAACTTTATTAATCCCACAAGGGGAAAATTGGACACAAACTGCACCCACATAAACATGCATACATCAGACCACAGAGAACTGATGGAAAACCCAACTTAAAATGTTTAACTGATAATGTATAGTGGTCATTCCTACACACGTTTGAGAAGCTATGGATTTTCCATAGGTCATATCAGATTATGAGGACTGTACACTAAAATGACCGGTGACCATGGCAGTTATGGTCAGAACATGTCAAATCCCAAGACGACATGAAATGTTGGTAACACAGTATAATGCTGGTATACAGTGCCTTCATGAAGTATTCAGACCCCTTGACTTTTTCCACATTTTGTTACATTACAGCCTTATTCTAAAATGGATTAAATACACACAATACCCCATTATGACAAAGCGAAAGCAGGTTTTTATACATTTAGCAAATGTATTTAAAAATAAAAAAGATAAATATCACATTTACATAAGTATTCAGACCCTTTACTTAGTACTTTGAAGCACCTTTGTCAGCGATTACAGTCTCGAGTCTTCTTGGGTATGACGCTACAAGCTTGGCATACCTGTATTTGGGGAGTTTCTCCCATTCTTCTCTGCAGATCCTTTCAAGCTCTGTCAGGTTGGATGGGGAGCGTTGCTGCACAGCTATTTTCAGGTCTCTCCAGAGATGTTCGATCGGGTTCAAGTCCAGACTCTGGCTGGGCCACTCAAGAACATTCAGAGACTTGTCCCGAAGCCACTCCTGCATTGTCTTGGCTGTGTGCTTATGGTCGTTGTCCTGTTGGAAGGTGAACCTTTGTCCCAGTCTGAGGTCCTGAGCGCTCTGGAGCAGGTTTTCATCAAGGATCTCTCTGTACTTTGCTCCGTTCATCATTCCCTCAATCCTGACTAGTCTCCCAGTCCCTGCCACTGAAAAACATCCCCACAGCATGATGCTGCCACCACCATGCTTCACAGTAGGGATGGTATTGGCCAGGTGATGAGCGGTGCCTGGTTTCCTCCAGACGTGACGCTTCGCATTCAGGCCAAAGAGTTCAATCTTGGTTTCATCAGACCAGAGAATCTTGTTTCTCATGGTTTGGGAGTCCTTTAGGTGCCTTTGGTAAACTCCAAGTGGGCTGTCATGTGCCTTTTACTGAGGTTTGGCATCCGTCTGGCCACTCTACCATAAAGGATTGATTGGTGGAGTGTTGCAGAGATGGTTGTCCTTCTGGAAGGTTCTCCCATCTCCACAGAGGAACTCTGGAGCTCTGTCAGAGTGACCATCGGGTTCTTGGTCACCTCCCTGACCAAGGCCCTTCTCCCCCGATTGCTCCGTTTAGAGTCTTGGTGGTTCCAAACTTCTTCCATTTAAGAATGATGGAGGCCACTGTGTTCTTGAGGTCCTTCAATGCTGCTGAAATGTTTTGGTACCCTTCCCCAGATCTGTTCCTCGACACAATCCTGTCTCGGAGCTCTACGGACAATTCCTTCGACCTCATGGCTTGGTTTTTGCTCTGACATGCACGGTCAACTGTGGGACCTTATATATAGACAGGTGTGTGCCTTTCCAAATCATGTCCAATCAATTGAATTTACCACAGGTGGACTCCAATCAAGTTGTAGAAACATCAAGGATGATCAATGGAAACAGGATGCACCTGAGCTCAATTTCCAGTCTCATAGCAAAGGTTCTGAATACTTATGTAAATTAGGTATTTATGTTTTTTATTGGTAATATTTTTGCAAAAAAAATTGCTTTGTCATTATGGGGTATTGTGTGTAGATTGATGAGGGCAAAAATGTATTTTATACATTTTAGAATAAGGCTGTGGGGGGGATCACGTGACCTTTGAGCGAGATGGCCGCAGGAACTGATAGCTCCGCACAAGTAATTTCCAATTCTTAATCTTACCTCCACCTCAAGTTAAACCCCATTAGCTTTAGTCAAAAAGCCCTGGCGGCAACAAAAGGCACCATTATATGGGATATTTTTTACCCGGACTCGAGCAATAGCCGTGGAAAAAGTCTCCAAGAAACCGCTAGCTTCAGAAACCGCTAGCTTCAGAAACCGCTAGCTTCAGAAAAGGCTAGTGCCATTAGCCAGGAGCAAAAGGCCCAACAACTGCCAACCTTGTCCTCTGTCGAAGACATCCTTTCTGAGCTCCCAACGTACAGAACTCAACATTCTCTCTCTCACACACACACACACACACACACACACACGACCTGCACTAGAGTTCCATGACGTTGACTAGTACCATAAAATCTACTGCCATGGGGCTAGGTCATGCAATTAAACGGAAAAACATACTATGTGCTCTGAAAAAGGAAGTATAAGACATTGTGATATTACAAGAGACAGACCTCTGTGAAGCCGAATGCGCTAAACACCGCAGAGCTCGGCTGGGACAGGTGTATTTCAGTAGAGGCCCAGCCAAACTTATCCATGAGCGTGTTCCATTCATATCTGACAAAAACATATCTGATCCGTGGGGGGAGATTTATTCTGATAACTGGGTCACTGTATGGGCAACCAATTACAATCTTAAATATATATATATATGCCCATAACACAAATACCCCTGCTTTCATGTCGAAAATGATAACCCTGTTCAATGAGCATTGTGTTTCCTTTGGAGTGCTGGCTGGAGATTTTAAATTATACCCTCAACTCAACTCAGGACAAATCATCTCAAGTCCACACCACAAACCCTAGATCGGCAAAGATGTTGAACTCTCTTACTAAAGAGATGGGACTGATAGATATCAGGAGAGAGACTAATAGCTCATCTATGGACTATACATACTACTCCAATGTCCATAACACTGTAGTATAGATTACATTTTTATCCCAAAGACTTTCATTAATTCTGCCACTTGTACAAATTGGACCCACTTTCAGATCACGCCTTTGACCACCTCCGGTTTGACCTCTGTAAAAACATCCCAGTGGTCAAAGAGCTGGAAATTCAACACCTCTATGTTATCAAACGAAGCATTCCGTACATTGGTTACTACATGGATAGACAACTCCACACAAGACAACAAAGACCCTCCTGTTTCTCAGGCCACACTGTGGGACGCTGCCAAAGCCACACTGAGAGGTCATCTAAATTGCATTTGCTTCCTCTAAGAAAAAAAGCAATGGAAGCACACAGGTTAGATCTTGAGAGGGAGCTGGAACGCTGCGAAAAAGTACATAAACAATCCCCAGGAGGTGAACTTAAAGCAGCCAAAGGCAAACTAAACTTGGACTAAAAAAAAAAGTCTTCTTTACTAAACAGAAATACCATGAGTATAGCAATAGGCCTAGCAGATTGTCTTACATTTACATTTTAGTCATTTAGCAGACGCGCTTATCCAGAGCGACTTACAGTTAGCGCATACATTATTTTTTATCGAACCCACAACCCTGGCGTTGCAAACGCCATGCTCTACCAACTGAGCTACATCCCCTGCCGGCCATTCCCTCCCCTACCCTGGACGACGCTGGGCCAATTGTGCGCCGCACCATGGGTCTCCCGGTCGCGGCCGGCTACGACAGAGCCTGGATTCGAACCAGGATCTCTAGTGGCACAGCTAGCACTGCGATGCAGTGCCTTAGACCACTGCGCCACTCGTCTTGCTTACCAATTTAACAAAGAGCAGTCAGAGTGTACAATCACGGCCGTCCGAACAGCAGATGACGAGGTCACGTGTGATCCAAATAAGCCACATTGAACTTTTATATGATTTTTACTGCAAATGATATACTTCTGAGAGAAAACATATGGATGCAGAACTCATTTCCTTCCTAGAGGGAATCTCGCTGCCAAAAGTATCAGAGACCGACCAAGGAGATCTCAACTCCCCCTTCACTCCTGGGGAAGTCCTAGAGGCAATTATCTCCATGCCACCTAACAAGTCCCCAGGCACAGACGGATTTCCCAGAGAGTTCTACAAAGCTTTTTGGCCCCAGCTTAGCCCTATTTTCATGCCAATGCTGGATGATTTTTGCTAAAAACGGAGCTCTCCCAGACTCTATGTACACAGCCCGCATTGCAGTGTTGCTCAAAAAAAGACAAGGACCCTCTCTCCTGCTCATCCTACCGGCCCATAAGCTTGTTGGATTTCCACCATTTACATTTTAGTAATTTAGCCGACGATCTTA